GATCCGCGGGCGGCTTTCCGGGACAAGGACAGGGTGTGCCGAGCCTGCCTCCTCGAGTCCGGCCACGCAGCGGTGGCCGACTCCGTTTGGGCCCTAGACGCGCGCGGGCTTTTTGCCTCCAAGACCTGGGGAGCTCGGAGTCTGGGAGTCTTGGCGCGGGCCCAGGCGTTCGTGAGCTGGTAGTGCAGACCCTGCACACGGAGGGCAGCTTTGGGGTTGGGGGAAGTGGCCTGAGGAATGACACTGCGCTTTGCGTCCAGGCCTCCAGCCGCGACCCCAAGCGAACGGATTTTTCTCTCTGGGCCTCAGTTTCCCCGTCCGTAAGATGCAAGGACTGCCGTCTGTGGCAGCCCCAAATTCTTCCTGGTGTGACAGCCGGGCTAGGCCCTTCCCGGGCTGCTGGAACCAGGGCGTGTTGGTCCCAACAGGCAGCCTCTTGCAGCGTACAGAGCCCGGTCTCTAACATGAGTTAGAATATCAGCGCTTTTGTTTCCTCTGCTTCCCGGTTTTGTGATCCTGGGCCAGTAACTTCACCTCTTTGTGCTTGTTTCCTTACCTGCCAAATAACAAACCGGGTGATTGCAAGAGTGGAAAAAGCTGTTATGTAGAGTCCTTGACGAGTACAAATGTTCCTTGAATGCACTGTTGAAGCAGTGCATTCATGTCCCCAGTGCGCCTAGTCTAGTGTTGTTAGGACAATCCCTGGCTCTGTCCGCTGTGTCACTGATGATACTGACTGGGGGTGCAGTCCTGGTTTGCTTGTATCTATGATGTGCAGCCTTGGTGGCATATCATTTTAGAAATGCTGATGCCTTGCCCCCTGCCAAGTTTTTTTGTTGTTTTTTTTTTAAATCGGTTTGGAGCGGGACCTGATGTGGGTATGTTTCTCAAGCTCCACCAGTGACTCCACTGTGCAGTCAAGAGGTGAGGTCCACACAGTAAAGAGATGGAGGTCAAGCTTGTGAGGCTTCCTGGGTTTTGCAGGTGGCTCATTTTCCTACCATTCCTGTTCTCAGATGGCACTTCCCACACTGCCGTCCTACTGGTGCAGCCGGAGGCTCCTGAATCAGCAGATAGCACGACAGCGAGAGCAGGAGGCTCGGTTTCGGCAGCAGTGGGATCAGAACAGCCATTACTTCAGGATGTCTGACATCTGCAGCTCCAAACAGGCGGAATGGAGCTCCACATCCTCCTACCAGCGTAGGTAATTGTGCAGTGACTGCCCACTGGATGGGGTGGGAGCCACTTGCTGGTCCAGGGGTGCTGCCTTAAGGATTTAGAGAGTGAGACTTCACAACATATTTTCTCAAGGAATTTGTGGAACAGCAGATATTGCCTGCGTGGTGATGTTTTTCCAGCTGGAAACTGAAAAATGGATCATATCTGAAGAAATGCATTCACAATTAAAAGATACAATGATACAGACGTGTATGGTAGAATTTGGAAGCCTTCCTGTTACTTCACATCCTCAGGGAGAAGCACAGTGAACAGTCTAGGACATATTCTTCCATACTTTTCCCAGTTTGTGTTTAATTATATACACACAAAACCATCTCTATAAATTCATGTAAAAAACATGGGGGTTAAAAGCATAGGCTTTGGAGTCGGACAGACCTCGGTGGAAATCCCGTGTCTCTTGCTTCAGTTTCCTCATCAAGTGGGGCTGACAGAACCTACTTTGTAGGATCTATGTGATGAGTACCATTAAGACATACACTTATACGTTTTCTCTTTGTAAAAACAGGCTTTCTGTTATGCATACCATTCTGTGACCTGCTCTCTTCATTTTGACTGGGGGATGCCCTCCTGTGCCGCCACAACATGCCTGCCTCAGCCTCTTTTACCCATGCAGCAGAGTAGAGTGTTCTCCCTGTGGCTGTAGCATTACTGATTTGTCGTGGGCCCCTTTTCACCCAGCATGCACGCCTATCAGCGTGAGAAGATGAAGGAGGAGAAAAGGAAGAGTCTGGAGGCCCGGCGAGAAAAACTCAGGCAGCTCGTGCTGGAGGAGCAGGACTTGCTGGCCAGAGAACTGGAGGAGCTGAGGCTGAGCATGAGCTTGCGGGAAAGGAGAATCCAGGAGCAGCATGGGAATCTGAAGTCAGCCCGAGAAGAGCAGAGGAAGCTGGTAACCTCTAGGCCTTTGGGAGAATGTGGAGCGGGAACTCTTAGCCTGAGCTGACATCCCCTGTGTGTTAGTCCAAATATAAATGGGTTTGAAAAGCAGCGTCAGCCTTTCCTTCTGTGTTTTCTTGATAGATTGCTGAACAACTTTTGTATGAACACTGGAAAAAGAACAACCCAAAACTCCGAGAGGTAAAAATGAAAAACCTTCCCTTGATTTGCCTATGTAAATGAAATGTTTCCAGACTTTTTTATCTGAGTTGGAGCCTCACTCCATTGCCCAGGCTGGAGTGCAGTGGCACACAGGCTCACAGCCACCCCAGTGTTGGCCTTCTGGGCTCTGGCGATCCTTCCACCACAGGCTTCCAAGTAGCTGGAACTACAGGCGCACACTACCATGCCCGACTAGTTCTTGATTTATTGTAGAGATGAGGTCTTGCCAAGTTGCCTGGGCTGGTCTTGAACCCGCAGGCTCAGGCAATCCACTTGCCTTGGCTTCCCAAAGTGCTGGGATTACATCTGAACCACTGAACCTGGCCCATTTTTTAAAAAAACATGCATCTTGTACTGGTTTGAAATAGGAGGAAACTTCCAGGTACCTGAAAAGAGCAGCAGGCAGGAGATCTGGTGCAGACTGCACTGAGCAGTGCATTCAGTCGTTAAACGTGAATCTCTGCTGCGGTCTACCATGTGGGGCATGGACGTGAAACGTGGTCCCTGCTTTGAAGGGGAGATGGTGGGCAGCTCATGGGAGTGCAGGCTGGAGGGTGCTGGGCAGAAAGATGGGCATGGGGCAGTGCGTTTACACAGCCAGGGGGAGGCATCCCAGAGGAGTTTCTGGGGTGGAGGAGTTTGGAAGGACATGAGGAAAGGACATACTCATTCTAGACAGGTGTGACTGTTCAAGGACTAGGCCTGAGACAGAATGACAGAGGAATGGGTCCAGGGAGCTACAAGGGTCTGGGTAAGGCTGAGACACCAGATGGGGGTGGGGGCAAGCCCCATAAGATGAGACCAGCTAGGTAGATGGCACCAGACTTGCAACAGCCTCGTGTAGCCTTTTCCTGGAGGCACGGGGGAGGAGAGTCTCTGGACGGCTTCAAGCAGGGGCTCACGGGATCACACCTGTGTTTCGGTGAAATCCCCCTGGCAGCAATGGCGAGGTGGGTGGGAGGGTTGATGCAGCAACCCAGCTGAGTGATGGTGAGGACCCAAACAGTGCTGTCAGGAGAAAGAAGGACACATCTGTAGGAGAGATGGATGTTGGCATTGTTCAGCAGATCCTGGGCTGGAGGAGAGAATCTTATTGCTGATACGTTATTTCAGCTTATGGTTTCTTTATACATTTAGTGACTTTACTTAGTGTATTCGTACTTAGATTTAGAGATTGCCAGTTGCTGAGTAGTAGAGCATCTGGGTGCTTTTGAGTGTTGTGTATTTGCACTAACCCGTGGACTCCCTGGTAATCTGTTGCCTTCAGTGGGCCCTCCAAAGCCATTTGTCCAGGAAAGTTTATTCAGAACATTAAAGTTAGTTGCAAATGTGAACAATCTGCAAGTTGGGAAAAAAATTTTAAACAATTTTGTAAACAATTTCCCAAACAAAAGCTTTTGGACTAGGTGTTGCAATTCATTTTCTAATCCAGAAGATTCTCTACACCCAAATCTCTTATTAATAACCCCAAATTTGTTGCAACTACTTGTGCATCATATGTTACAGGGAGTACGTACTTTTATGGCTTCTGATTTGCAGAGAAGCTTTGGGGGGGCAGGCAGGGAGCTGAATCTGTCCCTTACACAGCAGGGGCCTGGGGATTGGCATGCTGTAGACCAAACAAAGGTAGCTTTCAGAATTGTACTGCCATTTTGTCATTCGCTGACATACTTCCCACTCAGCCCCAGGCTACTGGGAGAAAAATTTCTGCTACTTTGTTCCAGCTTGTGAGGTTGGTGTAGAAGTGCCTGTTCCTTTACTTTCCTTATTGACTTGCATTCAGACTGTCTATGTCAGGGCCACCCTCCACTTCCTTGCAGGGCACCTTGGCCACTCTGAGTCATCATGAAGGGAAGACATGGCCACGTTCCAGCGTGTTGCCCAGAAGGCAACGCTGCTGTCTCCTGCAGTAATATCTGTCTAGTGAACTGATGAGGAAGTTAATGTTTTCCTTGTTCTCATCCTCAGATTCAGATGGATCTTCACAGGAAGCATGTGGTAAACTCTTGGGAGATGCAGAAAGAAGAAAAAAAACAGGTGTGTCTATGTCTCTGGAAATAGTTCCTCATGCTGCGGATGAGAATGTCTCTCAGTCTTCGAATTTGTTTTCTTTCAACATTAATAACTCCAGTTGAGAAACAGATTCTTTCTCAGTTTTCTTGACACATGTGAAAACTGAATGTTTGCTCTTACATGTGCTAGGATCCTGTGTGATCATTCTCAGGGCAGAATAAAACCAGGTGACCAGGGCTGGGAGGTGGTAGGTAGAATGTGCATCTTTAAGGGCGTTATTGTCTCTCTTGATGAAATTTGTATCATAAACCCTCAACCCTGGGTTATTGCAGCACCTCTGGGGATATGTGTCCACGCCTCCATGCACCTACTGCTTTGCCGCCGGGTTCATTTTGGAAAGTATTTTGTTGAAGGGAGAGGAAACCTGACATTATTGAGCCCCTCTGGCTTGGTCTCTGAGGGTCGTGCCACTTCCACGGTTCCCACAGAGAGGCAGCGTCACCTCCCTGGTTCCTGAGGAAGGGTCTGCCTGGGCCCTGTGACCTGCTGAACTGTGGCAGGGAGCTGGGTCTCTGCTGGCTGTGTGGTGTAGATATTGACTCCCAGGTGCTTCTGGCTCCTGTAGCAAGAAGCCACTGAAGAGGAAGAGAAGAAACAGTTTGAAAATGAATACGAAAGGGCTCGAAGGGAAGCGCTAGAACGGATGAAAACTGAGGAGGAGAAGAGACAGCTCGAGGAGAAACGACAGGCAGAGGCACTGTGTCAGCAGATGGAGGAGCTGCGGCTGAAAGAGGTGGAGGTGAGCACAGGCCCCCTCAGCCATCATGGCCTTGCCTCTGCAGCTGTTTGTTAGTATGAAATGAGCCCTTAGAGATTGTAGAGGGTGTAGTGCGTCTGCGAAGGGCACCAGCATCTGGGTTTTCCCTTCTCTCACGTGCATTCTCCTCCATGGTTCTGAACTTCTAGATTGTGTATCCAGATTCTAGGACATTAGCGATACAGAGCTAATACCTGTTTCCTTAGATGTGTTTGAAAACTTGTTGTCAGCCCTCTTGAAACTTGGAATTTCCAGTGCACTAAGTAGCCTTGACAGTCAGATGGTCTAGCACCTAGTTCTCCATGGGTAGCAGGCTTAGTGTTTGGGTCTCAAGTCCTAGACTGTGAGAGTTTCTGGTCCAGGGGGCTGTGTTTTGAGAACACTGCAGTTTCCCAGAGAGGGCTGGATCTTCCCGTTCAGATGATGGAAGCCCCATGCCCCCCCCTTGATACCTCTCCCCTTCCCAGGCCCGGTGGCTCCCTAGCTAGATACTTAGCGCCCACTACTTATTCTAGGTGCCAAGCACTAGGTTGGGAGCTAGAGAGCAACCCACGGTCCTGGCCTCTCAGTGGGGGCCATGTCAGGTGAGGAGAAAGATGTTAGGGTACAGTCAGTGTGGACCAGTATGGGGTCTCCTGGGAGCTCAGAGCATGGAGCTGGGAACGGCTCTTGCAGGAAACAACTCAGCTGAGATGGGACAAATTAGCTAGGATGATGGGACATCCTAGATGGGGCAAACTCGGCCAGGGCTGAGGGGCTTAATGCCCCGGGGGTGGGAAGGGATCATGGCCACAAAGGTGGACAGGCTACCCTTGCATAATATCTGCTAAAAGTGGAGATGTGGAAGGAAAGAAGATCTACCTCCCACCATCTCACCTCTGTGGGACTTACTGTCCTTGTCACCACAGGCCACCAAACTGAAGAAGGAACAGGAGAATCTGTTGAAGCAGTGCTGGGAGCTGGAGAGGCTGGAGGAGGAGAGGAAGCAGATGGCAGCCTTCCGGCAGAAGGCAGAGCTGGGGTGTGTGCACGAAGGGACCCCTGCTCTTCCTAGGAGGGTGGGTGGGCCTCTCACTTTCTCAGACGTGGTCTGGGAGTCCCTGAAGCCAGAAAGGAGACAGCCTGGAGTCATCAGTTATCTCGCCTCCACTTACTTGTCTGTGAGATACTGAAGGCAACTTATATTTTACTCATGTGTAGGCGCTTTTTGAGACACCAGTATAATGCACAACTCAACAGACGTACACAGCAGATACAAGAGGAGCTGGTGAGTCTGAAGCGACAGCCTGGCATTTTTTTCACCCTCTTTTGAAAAAAAAGTTCTCCATTGCTTAGTAGATGAGTGCATTCTCATAAGGATTAAAAGACAAAGTGAAGGGTCTGGGGAGTGGGGACATGTGGGTCAAAGGTTACAACCCTTCAGTTAAAAGATACATGAGTCCTGGGATCTAATGTACAGCGTGGTACCTCTGTCAGTGTACTTGCAGTTTGCCAGGGAAGTATGTATTAAGTGTTCTCATCACAAAAGTGGTAACGGTGAGGTGATAGAACATTAACTAGCTTGACTATAGTCGTCATTTGACAATGTGTGTGGATATCAGAACATCAAGTTCTGCATCATTAAATGAAAATAAACAAAACACTAAGATTTCCTCTTGACTGGCCCCTGCATCCTCTGCTCCTCCTCGGAGATGTCCATTTGGGTGCATGTCCCAGATATATTTACAAACATTTATGTACAGAGAGGTGGAGCTTTTTTGGTTGTTTTAAAATCTTATTGAAGTTGCATTCCTCAGCGTATTTCTTTAACATGCTATCTCTAATTTTTTAAAAGGTTTGTATACTTAGATCAAGCTTGCTCTTCTTTGCTAGCTGCTGTGTGTTTCTTTAAGCCTTTTGATGCACTTCCTTGCTGAGAGGGGAACTGAGCCAGCACAGCCACCTGTCCCCTCCCTTCCCTACTTCCCACTCTCAGGGCAGATCACAGGAGCAGCATCTCTGCTGTTTCTGCCACACAGCTTCTCCCCCGAGTGCATCTTCCCGGTGTTCTTGTGCAGCTTCCATTGTGCAGAGTTGCATAGTAGCTAATTTCCTACCATTGGGCACTTGGGTTGTTCGTGGTTTGTCCTTACGGAAAAACTGCCATGAGCACGTTGTGCCTACATCTTTGTGCATTCGTGTTACTGAAGTCTATATTCATGGAGGTGAAGTTGCTGCCAAGCTATGTTCTAAGACGTTGTGCTACCAGATGTGTCCGAGGATGTGTGGGGACAGAGGGGCCCTGGGCCTATGCAGGGTCTAGCTGTCTCCACACGATTATCCCCAGTCTGTTCTGGAAAGAGCCCAGCACCTTCCCATGTCTGTCTTGAGAGCACTGTGAAGGATCATGAATGTCTGCAGAAGGGTGAGGGCTGGGCAGGAGAGTAGCTTGTTCTGTCGGCCACAGCTGCAGAAGCGCTCTGTCCAGCCCACCCATGTGCCACACCCTGCTTCCTCTAGGAGGCCGACAGGCGGATCCTGCAGGCACTCCTGGAAAAGGAGGATGAGAACCAGCGCCTCCACCTGGTCAGGCGGGAGCAGGGGCTGGCTGATGCGGCCTGGATGAAGAAGACCATCGAGGAGCAGCTGCAGCTGGAGCGGGCACGGGAGGCCGAGCTGCAGATGCTGCTGAGGTGAGAAGTGGCCTGTCTGGGCGGGCTGCTCGTGGCCTGACTGGCAACGGATGTGCCCCCAGGCCACCGTGAGGTTGCCTGTTCCTGAAATGTCTGTGCTTGTGCATTGTCTATCATTCCTGAGGAACACACCTTCACTGACAGACCTGGCTTGTGGAAATGTTGCCCTCACGTTACCTGACGTGGAAATCGTTATTAAAGTTGAGACCGGCGATCTTCATCTGAAATCTTAGAGATTGAAAGGAATTGTGATAAATTATGGAGATGTTGAATCTGCTTAGGTTCATCAAAGCAGGTCTGGATCCTACAAATTAAACTAGTAGGCTGAAATAATTGAATAATAGGTGACCCACATCAAGCACTTACTGCATGCCACACACTGTGCTGAGTGCTTTACAGTTCTCATCCTATGGAGTCCTGACATCCAGGCAAGTGGTAGGATGTGGACATGGAGTCGTGAGAAGGCCACTCACTTGACCCAGGGCAAGCTAGCGGTGGACCCAGGTGTGTGGCAGCAGGGCTCTGGCACAGGCAGTGTCCTCTTCCTGTCTGGTTCCTGATGATTTCACTCACGTTGGTATTAGAGTGCCACAGTGCAGACTGTCAACAGTGCTTTTTATAAGGAGATGGTGACTTAAAACAGTACTTTGTGTGAATGCTGTCCTTAACTGTCATCTTTTAAAAGTGTATGTGAATAAGTTTATTTGCAGGTTCGCCCCTCAGAAGCTGTGTGCCTTGTGCCCTGCTTGTTGCCAGCTTACTCCCTGCCATCAGTGATGGGAAGGAGCCTGCTATCATCCCTCTTGTGTTTGCCAGGGAGGAGGCCAAGGAGATGTGGGAAAAGAGAGAGGCAGAGTGGGCCCGAGAGCAAAGTGCGCGGGACAGGCTGATGAGTGAGGTAATGCCTGCAGCGTGGATGCGGACTGGCTGTTGGATCCCGGGAGGATGTCTGGGAGGCGCCTTCTGACCCGGCTGGATGTTCTGGGAGCAAAGGCTTCTCTGGGTATTCTGTGTGAACTTTGCCAATCATTATATAAATGGTACAGGATTATTAGGAGAAAATTCAGAAGTTCAGAAAAGTAAAGATGAAGAAGTCCCCACAGCTGCGCTTATGTTCTTTTTTATACTTTTTTTCTACATTTTATTTTTTTTATTTATTTATTTTTTGAGTTGGAGTCTCACTCTGTCGCCCAGACTGGAGTGCAGTGGCCGCTCCCGGCCACCGCAGCCTCGCCTGCTGGGCTCCAGTGATCCTTCCGCCTCAGCCTTGTGAGTAACCGGAATTACAGGCATGCGCTACCATGCCCGGCTGATTTTTTTTGATTTATTGTAGAGGTGGTCTCGCTGCCCAGGCGGGTCTCGAACCTGCGGGCTCAGGCAATCCACTCACCTCAGCCTCCCAAAGGCACGGGATTACAGGCTGAGCCACCGAGCCCGGCTTTTTTTCTACATTTTAAACATTCTGTTCTGCTGTTTGACTTCAGGCATCTTACCAAGCTATCACATCTTTGTGAACACCCTTTGAATGCTGTGGCTCATCCTGTACCATCCCATAAGTGCTCCACAGTTTGCTTTTCCGGCCTCTCTTGTGAGGTAGTCTCTTTTTTCCTAATTTTGAGCTATTCTAAGAAACACCATAAGGATCAAGTAGATGCACGAGGCTTTTCCAGAGTGTGTTTTCCCCACTTTGGAGGGGATGACAGAAGGGAACTGAAGAGCATGCTTATTTTCTCTGTCAGTGTGTGAGTAGTGTGTGGAAGAAAGGCTTCACTATCCATGTAGCAAAAGTGATTTTAAAGTGTTTTAATGAGCCGGACTCGGTGGCTCAGCCTGTAATCCCGCGCCTTTGGGAGGCTGAGGTGAGTGGATTGCCTGAGCCCGCGGGTTCGAGACCCGGCC